GAACTTTTGTTTGTATGCTCAAACATTAGTTCGTAGTCATCGTATCCTGTGAAACGATTGTTGCAACGCTCCTAGCACCGTGGGAGCCAACAAATACTCCGTACGTTTTAAGGAAATCGTGCGTAGCACGAGCTTTGACTAATTCTGCTTCATCTCCTTTCTTGTTTTTCTCTTGTCATTTTATTTAATTAATTTATTTTAATTAATTTTCTTTATTTTCCGAAACACACCCAACATATACTAATAACAATTATATAAAATTTTAATTATTATATATAACGGATCCTTAACGGTTCTAGTTACATATTTTTTCAAGAACCGAGAATCGAACAGTTAATAAAAATAGGAACCGAATCATTAACAAATAACTAATAAATGTTGGAACCTGTTAAAATTGAAAATAAGTATAAATAATATGGAGTGGAGAGTATAATATATGGAGAGTTCTCCTTCGTGTGTTTTTATTGAGCAATGCCTCATGCATATTTATAGTACATGTGTGCATGGCAAATTACATGAGAGAGAATATAAGTTGCATGGCCCATGCAAGTAGACAGGCAAGACAAGCCAACCTATTACATATTTAATAATAATAATAATAATAATAATAAAATATCAAATATTTCAATACTCCCCCTCAAGGTGGAGTGTGAAGGTTACGGACACCCAACTTGCTCCGAAGAAATCGAAAATGATCTGTCCCAAGTGCTTTGGTGAAAATATCGGCCACCTGATTATTCGTGGAGATAGGAAATGGTCGAATTTCATTACTAGCAACCCTTTCTCGAACGAAGTAACAATCTATTTCCACGTGTTTGGTACGCTCATGGAAAACCGGGTTAAGTGCAATATGCCGGGCGGCTTGATTATCACAATAGAGCGATGTAGGACCCATTTGAGAGACTGTAAGATCTTTTAGTAACCATCGTAACCACAAAATTTCACTAACTGTGACGGCCATAGCTCGGTACTCTGCTTCAGCAGAAGAGCGAGAGACAACAGACTGCTTCTTCGTTCGCCACGATATGGGTGAATCGCCAAGGGTGATGAAATAACCGGTACTGGACCGACGAGTAAAAGAGCATCCTGCCCAATCAGCATCACAGTAGCCTTTTAAGGTGAAGTCATCCTCAGAAGACAAGAATATACCCTGACCCGGTGTTTGCTTTAAGTACCGGAGGACGCGTATGGCGGCATCAAGATGGGTTTGTCTTGGGGTGCTGAGGAATTGACTGAGCTGACTTACAGAGTAAACAATGTCTGGACGAGTGACAGTGAGATATAATAGTCGTCCAATAAGTCGTCGATAGGAAGGAGCATCCACCAATGGGCTATCATCATCTGGGCGGAGCTTTAAATTCTGCTCCATGGGGGTTTGACTAGGGCGGCCTGCCAGGAGACCACACTCTTCCAAAATGTCGAGGGTGTACTTTCGTTGACTCAAAACAAAACCTTCAGGGGAGCGAGCAACTTCAATACCGAGAAAGTATTTAAGTTTTCCCAAGTCTTTAATGCTAAATTCAGTATCCAAATACCTCTTCACCGTGTTAATATGGGAAATGTCATTTCCGGCTAGTATTACGTCATCTACGTAAATAAGGGCAAAAGTGGTAACAAGGCCCTGTCGAAAGGTAAAAAGTGAGTAATCCGCTTGGGATTGACAGAAACCAATTTTGGTGAGAGCTTGAGTGAATTTATGATACCAATTACGGGATGCTTGTCGTAACCCATAAAGAGATTTTTGTAACTTGCAAACGCGGGTGTCACCAGCTTTTGCGAACCCTTGTGGAATACGCATGTACACATCTTCAGAAAGATCACCATGAAGAAAAGCGTTATTAACGTCCAGTTGATGTACTGCCCATTTGCGTTTAGCCGCAACTGCCAAGATGCAACGTACAGTAACTAATTTGGCAACTGGAGCAAACGTCTCATGAAAGTCAACTCCCTCAACCTGTGTGAAGCCTTTCGCTACTAACCTAGCTTTGTAACGCTCCACATTTCCGTCAGGTTTATATTTAATTTTATAAACCCATTTAGAGTCAACAACTCTTTTTCCTGGGGGTAACTGAACTAAATTCCAGGTCTGATTTTCTTCTAAGGCATTGATTTCTTTTCTCATGGCTTCTCGCCAAAGAGGATCTTGTACAGCTTGTGAAAAGTATTTCGGCTCATCACGTGATGTAATGGCGGCTAAAAATGCTTTATGTGCGGATGAGAATTTTTCATAACAAATGAAATCAGAAAGAGGATATACCGAATGGGCACCAGACCGTGAATGATCAAGTGACGGAGGTAAATCGGTTTCATAATTATCAAGATGTTTTGGAAGTCTTCGAATCCGATCGTTCCTCTTTGGCTCAGAAGGTGCAATGCATGAAGAAGGAATGGCGGGGCCGGTGGGTAACAGTCCTGGTGCGGTTTCAACTTGTAGCTCATCAATTATCTCAGATGTGGGACCAGATGATGTTGTTTCACATATAGGAACCACAACGAAGGGTCGCTGCAGCTGTTCATGGTGGGGCGGCCGCTCCTCAGAGGACACTAGGATGGCCGGTCCAGCAGGTGTGGGTCCTGGTGAGTCACGCACAGGAGTCTGCATATGCCCAAGGATTTTACCGAGTATTTGATCGTTCGGTGGGAAGCTAACATCACAGCGTACATGGTCATTTGTTTCTGCCAATGTGGGCCCATCAATATATTGCCGAATTTGCTGCATCTGTCCAGGTGAGTGAACCTCCTCCTGCAGCTGGTTTGTTTGTATTGGTGTGGGGCCATGATTATTTTTCCCAACATGTCTTTCATGGGTAGGAATTGAGTGGGGAAAATAATTCCCCCTTGAAGTGAGGTGCGGTGATGTAGAATACTCTTCATTTTGATTTAATGTGTGATTGCAAACTTTCTGAACAAGTGCAGAGAACTCAAGCTCCTCATTAAAGGTAATTTTAAAAGGGAATTTATCTTCGTAAAACACCACATCTCGAGAGCTGTAGACAGTTTGCCTTTGCAAATCAAAAATTCGATAAGCCTTTTGACCGTGTGGATAGCCAATAAATATTCCAGGACTCCCCCTCTCACTGAATTTATCCTTCCGTTTGTTATCATGTGCATATACCAAGCATCCAAACACCCGTAGATGATCATAACTAGGCACTTTTCCAAGCAACATTTCAAAAGGACTTTTGTTAAAAATAACAGGCGAGGGGAGTCTGTTAATGATATAAACAGCAGTTAAAATACATTCTCCCCAAAAATTAATAGGTAACCCAGACTGGAAGCGTAGTGCCCTTGCAACTTCCAATATGTGTCTGTGTTTACGTTCTACAACCCCATTTTGTTGTGGTGTGTCTGTGCACGATGTTTCTAACAATATTCCATTCCGTCCATAATAATCACTTAAAATGTTGGTTTGAAACTCCACACCATTATCAGCTCTTATCCGCTTGACCCTTTGCTCAAATTGGGTATAAACCATATTGCAAAATTGTATTAAAAATTGAGAAACTTCAGATTTATTTTTCATCAAGTAGACCCACACACCTCTGGTAAAGTCATCAACAATAGATAGAAAATACCTTGCACCAGATAGTGAATCAGATCTATAGCCTCCCCAGATGTCACAATGTATCAACTCAAAGCAACGAGTTGTTTTAATTGTACTCGTAGGAAATGGCAGTCTAGTTTGTTTAGCTCGGAGGCAAGGATCACAAAAGTTGCTACTTTGTTGAAAACCCTTGAGAGAACTGATGTGGTGTAGCTTTCCATCGGACGCATGTCCCAAACGTTGATGCCATAAATCGGAAGTGATGGAGACAGAGAGTGCCACTCTTTCACACCCGGGAGATTCCAGGTAGTAAAGACCATCACGGAGTCTTCCCACACCAATCAGCTTTCTTGAGGATAACTCTTGTAGAACACAGAAATCCGGAAAAAATGTTAGGGTGCAACTTAGATCACTTGTTAGACGACTAGCGGAAAGTAAGTTGCATTGGAATTTCGGGATGTATAGAACACGTTTAAGACGAAGCCCATTGGGTAAGTATAAACTACCGATGGAATGGACCGGAACGGATTCGCCGTTAGGTATTTTGACGGACGGTTCCGTTGTGTGAATGACAATATCAAAAAGATTAACATCACTACAAGTGATATGTTCACTAGCTCCGGAATCAATTATCCAAGGACGAGCATGAGGTAATGTATATGCCATATTTATTTGGGCATAAGATGAGGAAGAAAAGATAGCTTCATGTGACATGGTTATATCACCACAAGCCACTGCTTAATCAAAAGGAGAAGAAATATGTAGGAGGAAGAGTATAAATTTGTTTCCAGGGTTTCGGCTCTGATACCATGTTAAAATTGAAAATAAGTATAAATAATATGGAGTGGAGAGTATAATATATGGAGAGTTCTCCTTCGTGTGTTTTTATTGAGCAATGCCTCATGCATATTTATAGTACATGTGTGCATGGCAAATTACATGAGAGAGAATATAAGTTGCATGGCCCATGCAAGTAGACAGGCAAGACAAGCCAACCTATTACATATTTAATAATAATAATAATAATAATAATAAAATATCAAATATTTCAATAGAACCGAACCGGACTGGGTCATAACGGTTTGGTCCGGTTCGGTTCTCCGGTTCTTGGTTCCAAAGTCCTAGTCCTATCAAACACGTAACTTCTGATTTCGCGCGTTGAATCGTGTAATAATACTCGTAAGAAAAAACAAGGTTAACGTTACTTTTCTGACTGTATTGGCTGAAATTACTGTAGAAGATTATTATTATAGCTATTTTTCATATAATTTTTTCTTTTATCTTATTAATAATTTTTTGAAATATACTCCCTAATTTTTTTTTCATAATCAGTAAAATTAGTCAAATTATCAGAACTCTATAAATTTCTAATGTTACCAAAGATGTACTTAATGTCGTGGAGTTTATTTTAGCTTCATCCAAGTATAAGCAAACACAATAGGTGCCCCTATTAAGAGTGAATTAAAAGAAAAATAAAGGAACGGTGGTAATGAAAGGCCTAACACGCAACCAGTCGAGCAGAGGGGTTGGAAGCAGGAAACGTGAATAAAATACTATACATCTGGCACTGACCTGACCTCTTCCTCACCTACATCACTTTTCCTTCCCGTTATTCAAAGCCGCGTTGTTACCCATTCCCCTGGACCGGACTCCCCACTCGCCACTACATCATATACTTTCCTTTCAAATCCGCCCAATCCCAATCTCCTTTACCAGATAGATCTTCGCAGGTTCTTTCTTTACCCCCTTTTCTTCTTCATCATCTCCACTCTGCTATTGTTTACTCATTCATAGCTTTTATGTTTAATGATCTCTTCTGTTTCTGCTCATGGGTTTCTGTGTTCTTTATTCGGGTCTTCCAACTGGAATTCGGGTACATGTTAAAAGTAGGGTTTTTTTCGCGTTTTTCCTTATTGAACCAATTCGAGCATTCTTTCCACTTCTTTAAACACCTGGGTTTATGATTTCGCAGATATCCTGTTAAACATTGTTGATTGTTCTGCTTCAATTATCATAAAAATTGAATCTTTACCCTTGGTGTTTGTTTGCGGTTAGGGTCTTTTTTTTTATTTTATCTGCGACGATTGTATATGTATACAGATACTTTCATGTGTTCTTATATTTTTGTCCTTTACCCTTTTAATAAAGAGGAATCGAGAAATTTGTATCTATTCTTCTTCTGTCCGTTTGTCATCCTCTATGCCCTGTAGTTTGTTATCCTTTATATTTCAGATTCGGTTCACTATCAAAACCATATATTATACTAGTACTATGTATGTGATTATGCTTTGCAATTGAACCACACTTTCCTCCTTTACCTGGTCTACTTGAATGTAGCACCCAGTACCTCAAGTTCTATCAATACCTATTTAGTTATAAGTCATAACCAAATCAAAGTAAACTGAACTTGTTTTGTGCATATTATTTTGTACTAAATTGATTAATTCAGGGTTGGTATGTGTATATATATTATTATTGTGTTCATACATAGTTTTTATGGAATAGTGTTGGAAACTGATAAGTATTTCTGTTAGGAATTTAAAGATTTAGAAAATTCATATTTCATAGCCTTGTTAAGTGCTGACCATTGTGAATGGTTTGCTTTATGTTGAAGGAGCAGATATTATTGCGCGTGTCCCATTCTCTTCTCCAACAATTTTCGTATTAGGTTTCATGATTTGATAATTACTACCCAATATTTAGTATATACACAAATGGAGGTTAAGCTATGGAATGACAAACGAGAGAGAGAGATGTATGAAAACTTTGCGGAGCTGTTTGCCATAATAAAAGCAACAGAAAAGCTTGAAAAAGCGTATGTCCGAGATGTTATATCATCAACCGAGTATGAAAACGAATGCCAAAAATTGATTGCACATTTCAAGACTCTGTCCTCTGGATTGAAGGACACTGTCCCAAGCATTGAACGGTTTCACGACATCTACAAAATGGATTGCCCGTCTGCCCTAAACCGCCTGGTGACCTCAGGGGTGCCTGCAACAGTTGAGCACCAGGCAGCTGCTGCCGTATCAGCTTCCACTTCGGCTGCTGTTGTGGCGGAGTGTGTGCAGAACTTCATCACAGCCATGGACTCTCTGAAACTCAACATGGTTGCCGTTGACCAGGTGCACCCTCTGCTGTCTGACTTGTCAGCCTCTCTTAACAAGCTCTCGATCTTGCCGCCTGATTTTGAAGGTAAGACTAAAATGAAGGAATGGCTTTATAGGCTGGCTAAAATGGGTGCCGCTGATGAGTTGACCGAGCAACAGTCTCGGCAGCTGCACTTTGACCTTGAATCTTCATACAATTCCTTCATGGCGGCACTGCCCTCTGCCGGGACTTAGATGATGAATTGAATTTGAGTGCTAATTAATGGTTTGTTTCATTAAAAGAAATTAAGTGGTGCCTTGTTGAACAAATTTTAATTTTGTTGTGCCGATTGACCCTATGTGGGTTTATTATGGTACTACTATTCTGTGTATATGCAGTTGATCACCAACTCTTCAATTACCACTTAAATGCTTCACCGCTAAAGATCCCATGTGAGGTGTTCTAAAACTAAACCTGTTCTGGCCAAGTGGGATCTAATTACCACATGAATCTCTCTCATAGGCTTTGACTTCATTAATTTGTCAATGTTATACTCCGTACTACGTATCTTTCTGTATAAGATTTATGTATTTTTTCCTTAATATCTAAACTTGATTATATTATTTGCAATGGAGTCAAAGATTCATTATTTTTTGGCTTGAGAATATACTGGAATAAATCAAAATGGCTCACCAAACTGTCTGCTCTTCTTTGTTATGAAGCAACAATCAGTCCATGCAATTCTGGAGGCGATTTTCATTATGGGTCATTCGGAAACAGTCTCTCTGTGCTTTAGTACAGGGGTAAGACTGTGTACATTCGACCCTCCTTACCCCACCATAGGTGGGAGCCTTTGTGGCACTGAGGTAAATGATGATTGATTGATCTTGATTATACTCTGACTAGAATCATAGATGATTATCTTCTCTCTTCTCTAAGTGACTACTCTACCTTTTAGCTTGTTATTGGGTTTAAGATGTGGTATGTACATAATCTTGTGAGTTTGTTATTTTGTTATTTTGGTTGAATGCCACGGGTACTCTGACTGAATCTTACAAGTTATATGAATGCCGGTTTAGTTAGGACTGTAATGTAAGAGAAATGCTACTTATACACAGTCGACACGTCGGATTACACGCCCAAGTGTAATTGTCTGTGCACAAGTAGCAGCATTCTCCGTAATATAAATGCCTTATTCTGAATATTTTATGTTTGCTAATTTCTAAAATTTGAAACTAAAATGTAATTTCCTCATTCGGTTTTTATATTTTCACTAAAAAAAAGAGGTAAACAAGATGTTAAACTATTAATTGTTCTGCAACTAGGTCCTCGAATTGAATGAGCTTACAACTACACCATTCAATCCATTAAAATAAAGCAATCCATTAGTAAGAAGGTAACTTTGTAGTGAGAAGATATTATCTTGATTATAGTCTGACTAGAATCATAGATGATTATCTTCTCTCTTCTCTAAGTGACTACTCTACCTTTTAGCTTGTTATTGGGTTTAAGATGTGGTATGTACAAAATCTTGTGGGTTTGTTATTTTGTTATTTTGGTTGAATGCCACGGGTACTCTGACTGAATCTTACAAGTTATATGAATGCCGGTTTAGTTAGGACTGTAATGTAAGAGAAATGCTACTTATACACAGTCGACACGTTGGATTACACGCCCAAGTGTAATTGTCTGTGCACAGCAGCATTCTCCGTAATATAAATGCCTTATTCCGAATATTTTATGTTTGCTAATTTCTAAAATTTGAAACTAAAATGTAATTTCCTCATTCGGATTTTATATTTTCACTAAAAGAAGAGGTAAACAAGATGTTAAACTATTAATTGTTTTGCAACTAGGTCCTCGAATTGAATGAGCTTACAACTACACCATTCAATCCATTAAAATAAAGCAATCCATTAGTAAGAAGGTAACTTTGTAGTGAGAAGATATTGGTATCAACAAGTAAAAAGGGTTTGATTGCATGATTTCAATGGGTTAAGAAGTGTATTTGTAACAAGAACTAGTAAACTCACCCGTGTGATGCACGGCATGAGAATTTTTCTTTCAAATTTATTTGTGTTCGGTAATTCAAATCACATTATCAATTGATGACACTATCTAACTCCGTGTAATATTGATATGCATCAAAGCAATAAACGAAACACACTTATAATATTATTGTCAAAATTAGAGTACTAAGTGTCACTTAAAAGATCAAATCATACAACAAATATGTTGAAACCATAACCTTGTAAATACATGTTTAATGTTGAACACTTCTTTGAATACAACATTCTGAGTCTTGTCAGTGGTTCCTTCATCTTCATCAACAATTGGAAATTTCAAACCACACCGATTGGTCACCCTTGATACTGCAACATACAACTGTCCGTGAGTAAATACCGATTTTTTCAACAACAACCTTGACCCTGACTTTTATTTATACTCATGGCATATAAAGTCATAACATGATACTGTCGCCTATGAAATTTGAAAGGCAAGCTGGTATCAGATGACATCAAGGACAATCTAGGACTTGATACTTTGTGCCCGACACTCACACCAGTTAAAATTTTTCCCTCCAAAACATGATCACCAAGCCTCGTTAGAATAAGACGTGCCCCGTTACACAACTCCATTGAATGATGGATACTTCGCAAAAGCATCATTGGGTCCCTACCTTTTACTCATAGAATAGAAAAGAATGTCACCAAGTCATATTCCAGGATTTTGTATGAGTTTTACTCATGCATGTATAATATACCCTTATATATATACCTAGATATCACAATGCACTAACCGTAACACAGCCATAATTAAGACGAATCTTTTGAATAGATGATGGTATATATCACTTAACCAATATTATGGTTGCTTGTAAGCAGTAAAATATAATATATGAATTGCCATAGTAAAATTAATTGCCCTAGTGATGCCAGCCAATCAAGGGGGTGGGGTGGGGGTGACCAATGGTGCATTCTCGGATTACTTCAAATTCACTCTATTATTTCGACATTTAGAGATCCTGATAAAAATGTACTTGTATATTATTTTCAATTTTAATACACTCTAAAAGTTTGCAGCATCTTGGAGTCGCATTAATGAATACTCTAACGCAGAACTATATGTTGAAACTTGCAGGGATACCATTGATGGTTCCATCTAGAGCCGTCAAAACGGGCCGAAACCCGCGGGTTGACCCGTTTCAACCCACTTATAAGTGGGTTAGGGCTATCATTTTCAGGCCCGATTGTTTTGCGGGCTAAGTGGGTCAACCCTAACGGGTTGCGGGTTTAGCGGGCCAACCCGCAGGCTGAGGACAAATATCATTTATTCTATGTATTTTTAATTCTATTATTTCTATATTGGACAATTATATCTTCTATTATACTCTCTTTACTTCTAGTTCTTTCCTCACTTCTAATACTAATGTATTTTGTTCATGATATCCAAATTCGACTAAATAATTTATTTTTAATGTATTCGTTGCTATATTGTTTTATAACATAAGGACTTGTATGCTGTTTTATTCATGATATCCAAATCAGACTAAATAAATGAGAAATTAGGTATTTGCGGTATTTCAGCTTAAGTATACCCACGATAATACATTAAAGCTTTTAAGCATTTCATCATTTAACTTTTTAAGTATACCAGTTACCTATGATGAAACATTCAAACATACAACCAAAGGATTTTCAAGCAGTAATTTTTCCTTTTTAATTGTGTTTGGATTTTAATTTAGATATTTAATTGATATTTCAATTGTGTTTGGATTTTATTTTAGATATTTAATTTTTTTGTTTTGACATTTATGGCCCGTGGGCTGGCCCGCATAACCTGTGGATTAGGTGGGTCGGGTTAGGGTCATAAAAATTCTGGCCCGATAGTAAGCGGGTTGGCCCGCCCTGACCCGTGAAACTCATAACCTGCCGCGGGTCGGGGCGGGTTGGCCCGTTTGACAGCTCTAGTTCCATCTAAATAAAAAACATGAAAAACGTACATAAAACTACTTATAAAACTATAATGTAGAATTTTTAAAAAGTAGAATATACAAAAAATTTAAAAATGCAAATAAGACATATATTTTACCTTTCTAATTTTTTACTTTTATTTATAAATGTTTAATTTAGCAATTTCAGTTGACTCTTGAAAAATAAACAGTCATAACAGATCAAAAATATATATGAAGCCGAATTCATTGATTTCAAAACAATGATACCTATATGATAGGTTCTTGTTCCTAAATTTATTTTGGTAACTATATCACACAAAATTACATCTTAAATTAGCATACTTTGTGTCACGCCCCGGACCTATCCGGACACGTCAACAATCCGCCGTACAGTACGAATAGTCAACCGCAGTCCAACACATTCATACTATACAAGGCGTCTGGGATATCATTCACGCATAGTACATCCATAAACAAACATAATGTAAAATATTCATTCAAAGCAGCGGAAACATTTGGTACAAGTGTTCATGCCACACTTTGGCAAACATGGGCATACAAGCCCCCATTAAATATTCAATAGAAAAACATTATCCATGAGCATTAATTAAGATGTTTGAAAAAAATGGAATCTGAAGAGGCACGAACCACGACTCCTCTTCTTGGATCCTACCCGAGCAACGGTGATGGCAGCAAGCTTCACTCCCTACCTGAAACTGTGAGGTGGCCTCCCCCGTGAAGGGGAGGTCAGTACTTGGAAGCATTTGACAAGTACAATGACAACTATACTAAGTATAATCAAAGTTTCAATTTCCAAGACCCTCAATCTAAGATGTTATTCATTTATGATTAACTCATGTCCTCCATGCTAGAGCTCGGCTCATAGTCATATCAATTTGTGCTAGAGCTCGGCTCATAGTCACCCCACGTTTGCTAGAGCTCGGCTCATAGTCATACTAATTTGTGCTAGAGCTCGGCTCATAGTCACCCTACGCTTGCTAGAGCTCGGCTCATAGTCATACTAATTTGTGCTAGAGCTCGGCTCATAGTCACCCTACCACGTGCTAGAGCTCGGCTCATAGTCACGTCAACTAATCCCTAAACCACTTCTTAGTCTAGGTTCCATCTATTTTGAGTAACCTCTAAGGCTTACTCCAAATGTAACTTGAGTTCATAACAATTTGGATATATCAATTAAATTACTCATTCAAGTATAACTTGGCTCTAATATCAAAATATTACTTTTATCCTTCCATGACTTTCTTACATGAGGTAAAAGTATATTTATCACAATTTAGTTTATAGTTTACACCACTATGATGTCATTGTATTCATAACACACAATCATACACAATTTGTTCATAAATTTGTATATTATGCATTTTTACTTATAAACAATAATAATCTCATTTAGGCATCTTTTTATTATAAATAAATCATGCCAAACACATATAATTCATTTAGGTAATCTTATGAAATTAACCCAATAATTATAAGCAATATAGTCGGTCATCCTCACCTTAAGTGAGCTTGAGCGCGTTCTACGCTTCTTGGTTGAACTTTGACTAATTCCGGCGAACTTTGACCAACTCCGGCGAACTTTGACCAACTCCGGCGAAACTCCGGCGAAGCTCAAAAATACTTTAATCAAGTTCCTAACAAGGTTTTAACATCATAAAACCTTAATCAATATAAATAACCTCTAAAAGGTTATTTTCCGGTGAACTTGTCGGTTTGGTTCCTAAGTCCGTTTTTGGACTTAGAACCACTCTCCAACCTATTATTCCACACTTTAATTATGTAGAACAACCTCAAGGTCCTTCATGTGATATATATCACATATGATAGAAGAAAAATAAAGGAAAAGTTAATATAAGGTTATTACCTTAATCTTTCTCACTTTTCCTAGCTTTTTCTCCTTTTAATCTTTCCCCTTGGACTTCTATTGCTTGAGCTCTCTTCAAGGATGGGAAAAGGGAGGATGGGGATTTTCTTTTCTTGCTGGGGTTGGTTCTGGCCGAGAGAAATGAGGGAGAGAGAGGTGAGGGGATGATCTTTTGTCTCAAAGATCAAATGGGGTGGATGTGGTCCCCCTTTTTTTGTTTGATGCTTCTTCTTTCACTTCACACACATCACCCATGCCCCTTCCACCACCCATCCGGCCAAGGCATGAAAAAATGTGTCTAATTTCGTGGGTTGGCCCCCACCCATGTGGGAGGTCAACCCCTTTTGTCCAGAAGTGTACACTTTGTCCCGAAAGTTGTATTTTTCGGACTGTTTTAAATATATTTCATTTTATCGGGTCAAATAAAATATATTATGTGTTCTTAATCATTATACCCTTTATAATGAATATACATTTCCCAACTTTAATTTATAAGTCCCCGAAATTCAATTTCGGGCTCCTATCGGTTAAATTACTAGTACCGGTATTTGGCCCTTTTTTGATCAACCGGTCAACTCTATATCACCTCTTTGGACCAATGAGTTATACACCACTATATAAATATTATATTGACCAAGATGAATAAAATGTACGGTCTCGGGGATATCGGGCGGCCCCCGCTCCCGGTGTGGGCCCCACGTGCGAATTTACTATTCACGCAAAATAATTAATAAAGATTCACAACTTCATATTCTCATTAACCATTATACAAGGTTCAATATATTATTCACTTAAAAGTAAATACATTTGGGGACGGTGTTACAAGTTCACCCCCCCTTATTTGGGATTTCGTCCCCGAAATCCACGTGTCTAATCGAAAAGAAACGGGTATTGCTCCCTCATTGAGACCTCCGTCTCCCAGGTTTCTTCTTCGACTCGATCACTCCTCCAAAGAACCTTCACCATTGGAATCTCCTTGTTCCTCAATTTCTTCACTTGTTGCCCGACAATCTCCACCGGTTCTACTGCATATTGTAGATCTTCACGTATCTCTACCGGTGGCTTCTCAAGAATATGAGATGGATCTCTCACGTATTTCTTGAGCATCGATACGTGAAACACGTCGTGTATCTTCTCAAGTTCTGGCGTCAACTTCAGACGGTATGCCACAGCCCCTATCCTTTCAAGAATTTCAAATGGGCCAATGTATCGGGGGTTGAGTTTTCCCCTCGTTATAAATCGGATGATACCCTTCCAAGGGGAAATCCTTAGGAAGACCTTATCACCGACCTCGAACTCCAATGGCCTTCGTCGTTTGTCGGCATAACTCTTCTGCCGATCTTGGGCAGCCTTGAGTCTATCCTGGATGACTTTCACCTTAGCCTTGGTGATTTCAACAAGTTCAATCCCTTCGAGCTTGGCCTCGCCAACCTCGTCCCAACACAACGGTGTCCTGCATTTCCTCCCATACAATGCCTCATATGGAGGCATGCCAATACTCGCCTGATAACTATTGTTATAGGCGAACTCTACTAGAGCCAAATGTTTGTCCCAACTCCCCTGGAACTCCAAAGCACATGCCCTAAGCATATCTTCTAAAATCTGTATCACCCTCTCGGATTGCCCATCCGTCTGTGGATGAAAAGCTGTGCTAAACTTCAGTTTAGTACCCAAAGATGCTTGAAACTTGGGCCAAAATCGAGATGTGAATCGTGGATCCCTATCCGAGACAATGGATATCGGGACTCCATGTAGTCTCACAATCTCCTCCGTGTATAGCTTTGCCAATCTTTCAAGAGGATAAGTAATGTTGATAGGCAAAAAGTGTGCACTCTTGGTGAGCCTATCAACCACTACCCATACTGCATCGTAGTTGTTCACCGTTCGTGGTAGCCCCACCACGAAGTCCATGGTCACATGTTCCCACTTCCATTCCGGAATGGACAGTGGCTGCAAAAGCCCTGCCGGGTGCTGGTGCTCCGCCTTAACTTGCTGGCAAGTAAGGCATCGGCTCACGTACTCTGCGATATCCCTCTTCATACCCGACCACCAGTAACTTTCCTTCAAGTCTCGGTACATTTTAGTACCTCCTGGATGCATAGCATATGCCGAAGAATGAGCCTCCTCTAGTATAGACTTTTGGAGCTCCTCACTCTTTGGTATGCATACCCGGTCCTTAAACAGTAAAAGACCGTCGTCACGTACTCGAAAGTTCTCCACGGGCCCTTCAAGGATCCTCTCCCGGATCTTCTGACATTCTTCATCAATAGCCTGACATCTACTGATCTCACCCAGCAAGGTAGGTCTAACCTCGAATCTAGCAATGAGGACCCCACTCGTGGACACCTCCACTTGTGCCCTCAAAGTTCGTAGACATGTGAGTAATGTCCCCGACGTACCCTTCCTGCTCAGTGCATCGGCCACTACATTGGCCTTTCCGGGATGATAGTCGATGATCAAGTCATAGTCCTTGATCAACTCCATCCATCTCCTTTGTCTCATGTTCAACTCTTTCTGAGTGAATACGTACTTCAGGCTCTTATGATCGGTAAAAATGTGACATGTCTCCCCATAGAGGTAATGCCTCCAAATCTTTAGTGCAAACACTACCGCCCCCAACTCTAGATCGTGGGTAGGGTAGTTCGCCTCGTGTTTCTTCAATTGCCTAGAAGCATAGGCAATCACCCGACCGTTTTGCATCAGTACACATCCAAGCCCTTGGATGCTAGCATCACTGTAGATATCATACCCTATCCCCTGTATAGGTAGGGCTAGTACTGGTGCTTCGGTAAGTCGTTTCTTCAGTTCAAGGAACCCTTTCTCACACTTGTCGTCCCATATGTACTTGGCCCCTTTCTTTGTGAGCTTCGTTAATGGAGACGCCAATACGGAGAATTTTTCCACAAATTTACGATAGTATCCCGCTAAGCCAAGGAAACTACGTATCTCTTTCACATTCTTGGGTCTCTCCCAATCCATAATAGCTTTAATCTTGGCGTTGTCCACGGCAACGCCCGAACCGGATATGACATGACCGAGGAAACCAATCTCTTTGAGCCAAAATTCGCATTTTGAGAACTTGGCAAAGAGTTGCTTTTCCCTTAACCGATCAAGTACAAGCCTCAAATGGTGTTCGTGCTCCTCCTCGCTCTTGGAGTATATCAAGATGTCGTCAATGAATACTATCACGAATTGATCTAAGTATTCACTAAACACACGGTTCATCAAGTCCATGAATGCCGCCGGTGCGTTGGTTAAACCAAACGACATCACAAGGAATTCGTAATGACCATATCTAGTGCGAAATGCACTCTTAGGTATGTCACTCTCCTTGATCTTCAACTGATGATACCCCGACCTCAAGTCAATCTTCGAGAACACTATTGCCCCTCGAAGTTGGTCGAACAAGTCATCAATCCTCGGTAAGGGATACCTGTTCTTGATGGTGACCTTGTTCAACTGTCGGTAGTCAATACACATTCTTAGTGTACCATCTTTCTTCTTTACGAATAGTACGGGTGCTCCCCACGGTGAATGACTGGGTCTGATGAACCCGTTGTCCAATAGTTCTTGTAGTTGGACCTTCAACTCTTGAAGTTCGGCCGGTGCCATTCGATAAGGAGGAATCGTAATGGGTTTGGTTCCCGGCTCCACTTCGATTACAAATTCAATCTCTCTATCGGGTGGAAGCCCCGGTAGGTCCTTGGGAAAGACGTCCGGGTACTTGCACACGACTCGAACATCCTTGATGTCGACTTCTTTCTTCGTATCATCTACCACGTAAGCAAGGTATGCGTGGCACCCCTTTCTCATCATCTTCCGTGCTCTCATCACGGATATGATGCAAACATTTGATTTCCCCCGATCTCCTTCGAAACATAGCGTGTTTCCTTGCTCATCCTCGAGTTCCAACACCTTGGTGTAGCAATCTACTCGAGCATGGTGCTTCTCAAGCCAATCCATTCCTAGGATTGCATCGAACTCCAACATGCTTAGGGGTACGAAATCACAAGTCAAGGGTTGACCCGTCACTTCCACCTCACATGATGGATAGTAATGATTTCTCTCCACATCGTCCCCTAACGGTGTGGAGACTAGCAACGTTTGCGTCATAGGTGTCAACGGCACGTCAAGTCCCTCGGCGAACGCCTCACTCACAAATGAGCGTTGTGCCCCGGTATCGATGAGGATCCTCGCACACCTACCGTTGATCTTTAATGTTCCTACATTTATACACCATGTAAGATACATTTTCTAATGTTTTTACACATCTTTAGGAGGTTATTAAGTCAATACTAAGGTTTGGAATCAAACGGGGGTCCAAACGTAGAAGAACGGGGCGGAAAAATCCGATTTCCGGGTTCTGGGGTCCACGCACGGCGTGCCTGGGTGGCACGCACGGCCGTGCGTGCATCGGATCCTTCCTGCTTGCCACTGCCGGCCAGGCACGATGCCAGGCACGGCGTGCCTTCGGCCGTGCCTGGCCAAAAATACCTCGGACGCTACTGTCTTCCAGGCACGACGCCAGGCACGGCGTGCCTGCGGCCGTGCCTGGCCCAATTTTTTTTTTTTTTTTTTTTTTTTTTTTTTTTTTTTTTTTTTTCTCTTCTTCGGGTGCCACTGCCTTCCAGACACGGTGCCAGGCACGGCGTGCCTGCGACCGTGCCTGGCCAAAAATCTTCCGGTTGCCACTGCCTTCCAGGCACGATGCCAGGCACGGCGTGCCTGCGAGCGTGCCTGGCCGGCAGTGGCTGTTTCCAGCTGATTTGGCCTAACTTGCCCGGTTTTGACCCCGGGGTGGCCCGCACTCAATCCCTACGACGTATATGATCAATGCAAGCCTAGAAATACATGGGAATACGTGTATTACCTGCAACGGAGTCGGGATTGGCCCGAGCATCGGCCTCGGTCATTGCGTAGACTCTAGCTTGCGTCCTTCCTTGATTCACGGACGGCGCGTTGCTGGCGCTCGCTCCCCCCTGCCCCGTACTAGCATGGGGTGCTCCGGTCCGACTTCTACTTGCCGTAGTAGCGCCGCTTGATCCCGCCCCTCGGTTTCCACCAAGTTGAGGGCAATTTGGTTTAAGATGCCCCGTGTCTCCACATTGGTAGCACCGAGGAGGGTCACGACACTTACCGGCGTGGCTCCTGTTGCAATTTCGGCACCTGGGCGCTGTCGAGGCTTGTGAGCCCGAGTTGTGCCCGCCGAAAGCCGAGTTTCCCTTGGATGGCGGCGCCGGTGCCCTGAACGATCCTCCTCCCCCGTGGTTCCCCTTTTTGTTAGAACCTTGTGGGCCATGGCTTTCCCACTTCCTCTTCTTCGCCTCATCGGCGTTCCTCCGCTTTCTTTCCTCCCACTCCTTCTCTCCCTTCAGGCCTTGTTCAACCACTTGACTAAACGTCATATTAGGCAATTGTGTTGCCCTCTCGCGTATGTCAAGGTCTAAGGCATCCCAGAAGTGGTTCACCATCCGGTTCTCATCACATATGTACTCCGGTATGAATTCGGCAAGCTTTCTGAACTTGTGCTCAAGTTCCTTCACCGTACATGCGCCTCCCTGTGTCCAGTTCGTATACTCCCTCCTCTTCATGTTTACCTCGAAGTCGGAGTAGTATTGGTTGAAGAACTCCTGCCGAAAGTTCTCCCATGTGACGGCTTCGCCGTATTTCCCTTTGACCCCGTCCCACCACGTGGACGCCATGCCTTCGAGCAATCTTGTTGCCACCCTCAGTTTCATGATGGGTGGCAGCTGCATGTCAAGGGCCGCCTCGTTGAATCTTTTGATCCATTCGGCCGCAACGGAGATGTCTCCCGTTCCATCAAACGGTTTACATCCCAAATCTCGTGCTTCTTTGATAAATTTGGAGATCCTTATGGTTGGACCTCCCACATTTTGGCCTCCATGTGGTTCAACATGGACTCTAGAAGCACCTTGGCTTCCTCCTCTCGAAGCCATGCCCGAAGGTTGCCCCGTTCGGCGCCTTCGGCGTTGTCTCCTCTCTTCGCGCTCCCGGTGGTATTGTTGGAGCAGCGCCTCGATCCTCCCAAGAGTGCCATCGTCTTCACTCTCTTCACTTACATCGTCATCTTCCCCATCATATGGGGTTTCCACCGGCTCGGTTTCCGGCCTATAGGTTGAGTCCTCATAGGACCAATAAGTCTCACTCTCAGTGTCCACGTGGCCATCGCTCACGGTTTGTTGTTGGCCTCCACGGCCCCTTCCCCTGGACACCCTAGTGGACCCCCGACCGCCGCGTTCGGACCCACCCGGTACACGGCCCATCGGGTTCCTCCTAGTGATCCTTCCAATTGGCTCCATTTCTGAAAGAAGTTTAGAATGAGCCGTTAGACTCGTATCAAATGTCAAGTGACGGATAGGTACTTAAAGACAACCTTTGGCTCAAATCACCGTCATACCAATTGTTAAGGGTACCATCTTAACAATTAGAGACCTTGCGACTCAAGTACCAAAAGTTCTATAAGTACAAAACTTTATGCTCATGGTTTGCAAAATCATTTTCAAAAAGGAATTTTGAAGCTTCATTATGAAGTTTACGGACTAAGGTCTCTGATACCAATTAAATTGTCACGCCCCGGACCTATCCGGACACGTCAACAATCCGCCGTACAGTACGAATAGTCAACCGCAGTCCAACACATTCATACTATACAAGGCGTCTGGGATATCATTCACGCATAGTACATCCATAAACAAACATAATGTAAAATATTCATTCAAAGCAGCGGAAACATTTGGTACAAGTGTTCATGCCACACTTTGGCAAACATGGGCATACAAGCCCCCATTAAATATTCAATAGAAAAACATTATCCATGAGCATTAATTAAGATGTTTGAAAAAAATGGAATCTGAAGAGGCACGAACCACGACTCCTCTTCTTGGATCCTACCCGAGCAACGGTGATGGCAGCAAGCTTCACTCCCTACCTGAAACTGTGAGGTGGCCTCCCCCGTGAAGGGGAGGTCAGTACTTGGAAGCATTTGACAAGTACAATGACAACTATACTAAGTATAATCAAAGTTTCAATTTCCAAGACCCTCAATCTAAGATGTTATTCATTTATGATTAACTCATGTCCTCCATGCTAGAGCTCGGCTCATAGTCATATCAATTTGTGCTAGAGCTCGGCTCATAGTCACCCCACGTTTGCTAGAGCTCGGCTCATAGTCATACTAATTTGTGCTAGAGCTCGGCTCATAGTCACCCTACGCTTGCTAGAGCTCGGCTCATAGTCATACTAATTTGTGCTAGAGCTCGGCTCATAGTCACCCTACCACGTGCTAGAGCTCGGCTCATAGTCACGTCAACTAATCCCTAAACCACTTCTTAGTCTAGGTTCCATCTATTTTGAGTAACCTCTAAGGCTTACTCCAAATGTAACTTGAGTTCATAACAATTTGGATATATCAATTAAATTACTCATTCAAGTATAACTTGGCTCTAATATCAAAATATTACTTTTATCCTTCCATGACTTTCTTACATGAGGTAAAAGTATATTTATCACAATTTAGTTTATAGTTTACACCACTATGATGTCATTGTATTCATAACACACAATCATACACAATTTGTTCATAAATTTGTATATTATGCATTTTTACTTATAAACAATAATAATCTCATTTAGGCATCTTTTTATTATAAATAAATCATGCCAAACACATATAATTCATTTAGGTAATCTTATGAAATTAACCCAATAATTATAAGCAATATAGTCGGTCATCCTCACCTTAAGTGAGCTTGAGCGCGTTCTACGCTTCTTGGTTGAACTTTGACTAATTCCGGCGAACTTTGACCAACTCCGGCGAACTTTGACCAACTCCGGCGAAACTCCGGCGAAGCTCAAAAATACTTTAATCAAGTTCCTAACAAGGTTTTAACATCATAAAACCTTAATCAATATAAATAACCTCTAAAAGGTTATTTTCCGGTGAACTTGTCGGTTTGGTTCCTAAGTCCGTTTTTGGACTTAGAACCACTCTCCAACCTATTATTCCACACTTTAATTATGTAGAACAACCTCAAGGTCCTTCATGTGATATATATCACATATGATAGAAGAAAAATAAAGGAAAAGTTAATATAAGGTTATTACCTTAATCTTTCTCACTTTTCCTAGCTTTTTCTCCTTTTAATCTTTCCCCTTGGACTTCTATTGCTTGAGCTCTCTTCAAGGATGGGAAAAGGGAGGATGGGGATTTTCTTTTCTTGCTGGGGTTGGTTCTGGCCGAGAGAAATGAGGGAGAGAGAGGTGAGGGGATGATCTTTTGTCTCAAAGATCAAATGGGGTGGATGTGGTCCCCCTTTTTTTGTTTGATGCTTCTTCTTTCACTTCACACACATCACCCATGCCCCTTCCACCACCCATCCGGCCAAGGCATGAAAAAATGTGTCTAATTTCGTGGGTTGGCCCCCACCCATGTGGGAGGTCAACCCCTTTTGTCCAGAAGTGTACACTTTGTCCCGAAAGTTGTATTTTTCGGACTGTTTTAAATATATTTCATTTTATCGGGTCAAATAAAATATATTATGTGTTCTTAATCATTATACCCTTTATAATGAATATACATTTCCCAACTTTAATTTATAAGTCCCCGAAATTCAATTTCGGGCTCCTATCGGTTAAATTACTAGTACCGGTATTTGGCCCTTTTTTGATCAACCGGTCAACTCTATATCACCTCTTTGGACCAATGAGTTATACACCACTATATAAATATTATATTGACCAAGATGAATAAAATGTACGGTCTCGGGGATATCGGGCGGCCCCCGCTCCCGGTGTGGGCCCCACGTGCGAATTTACTATTCACGCAAAATAATTAATAAAGATTCACAACTTCATATTCTCATTAACCATTATACAAGGTTCAATATATTATTCACTTAAAAGTAAATACATTTGGGGACGGTGTTACACTTTGCAAATCAACAAATATAAAAAGGAGAATCTCCCACCCTCTAAAACATCTATTCAATTCACAGACCATTTTATTAAAGTCAAAATCATGTGATACAATCAACATCGGTACATTTGATTTAGGGCTTGAAGCTATTAGCACTCAGATACTCATTATTGTTCATTTTGTCGGGTTTGATAATTCATCTTGTTAAAATAGGTGTCAAACACCGAACACTTGCCCCTTTCAATATCTCCACGTCATCTTTATCCCAACTTAACCTAAATTGCCTCGGTTCTTCTCATCAGCCACATCTCTTCTAGTCTTCTCCCCTACCCTCGCCACTGATACCAACTCCACCGCTTTTCTTCACGAAATTCCAGCCGTTTTGAGTCATCCTCGGCTGTCATGACTTTACTTGTAAACCCACTTCCTAATATTTTACGCCAATTACTCGCTTAGAGTCCTCAACCGAATCTGGGGATGCGCCCCCCGAAGAACGCGTAGCTGTTACGGCAAGCACACCAGCACCTCGATGTAATCTTAAGGTTAGAAAACATAACCTGCTACAAAAATCCATGGCTACATAAATTAAGTATACAAAGTCACAAAAGCTTGATTTTTATACCCTCAATTTTTTTCCTGAAAATTGGATGTAATAGATCTGTAAATTTTCAATTGTCTTTAGTGATTTACTTCCTATTTTCGTTGGAAGTATATAGTTGTCGTGTTTTGGGGGTGCCATGTCTGGCTGATGTGAGAACCATGCTTAAGCATAAATGAAAACCATACATTGTTGGTAATTATGTACCTTTTTTTAATCATCTGAAGTAAAGAAAATCAGAGGCTTAATAAAATATACGGACTACAATTTCTATTGCAGTAGAAGAATGCCAATTGACTATAACTATTGAGTTGAGCGCATATCTTAAAACTATGTAGATGCCACAAAGTCACTTAACAACGGTAGAGTTATGACTTACAATAACTTGACTTACAATAACTGAAGAGTGTGTTATTTCTATTATAGTGGGCTTTGTATAACTACTTTTGTGTATCTTTGTTGCATGTCACATTGTGTTTAATAAAATGTAAACACCCATCTTCATACACGGAGTATATGTTTGTGTTCATGGCAGTCTAATAAAAAATTATCCAGAACTAACCTACTTGACATCTCTCTCTCTCACACACACACATTATTGATATAACCGTGTATGTAGAAAACAAATATTATTATTGAAAATGCTTTTTAAGATGTATGATTACATCTAATTATCAAATCTGGAAGTCCAAAATGGTAGAAACACTGATTTGATTAGTACTCAATAGTATGTCTTGTTTCTTGCAACATATGCGTGAGCTCTACCCGATAGGCATCTATTCACAGACGTACTTACTTCAGAGATTGTGCATCTATATGATTTCTTTGATAAAACTTGTATTGAAGACTTGTTTCAAGAAATTTGTTTTTATAAATTTTATAATAAGTGTTAGATGCATTTAATCATAAACAATACACATGTTTTAACAATAAACTCTATAGAGATAAAACTAATTTTAATTTATTAACAATACCCACACTGACCATTGTTAATACATTAACAACATATGCATTCTTTTCTATAAATGTATACGTACATATATGTGTTTTTGTATGTTTCATAATACACACATAAACATATTTTGCCATAATATTCTTACTATCTGCAGGTATGAAATTTAAAAAGTTGGACATCAAAGAGAAAGGGAAGAAGCAGAATGATTCATCATTCTAATTGTATTGGTCTTTGAAAGACACTGCAAGTATTTATAGCAGCACTTTGGTCATATAAACACTCTTGGCCCAAGTGGTCATGACGCTGCTTTTATAGATGTACATGGGCATACAAAAATATCTTCGAATAAAATGCCAGGAATGAGATACATTAAATCTCACTATGCTCATGGGCACACAAAATATGGATGGAAAGTGAGATGCTTCATTGCATTTAAATAGCCGAATGAATGGTTGTTGCCATTCGGGTGTTTGGAAACAATCTATGAGCTAAACTATCCCACCTCCCAAACCGGCCAATAGGATTTAAGCATTTAAAGCTTTGAGCTTTTGCCATAATGCATTTACGTACTACATCACTATTGGCCACCCTATTCAACCAATGAAATATTAGCATTTCAAGCCATTGCAATCCCCATTTAATCTAAACCATGCGTATGTATTTTTGCCTTTAACACTAAATAGTGGCACCGCTTGTTTAGCCAATAGCAATTCCGTACTGTTCACAGATATGTTCTTTGAACAGTGTTCAAATCTTCTCTCAACCAATTCCATTCATTGCAACCTGCTGCACCGATTTTTTGACCAATTGAAAATGAACACCATTCATTTTAACATGTGCACCAACTCATCACCATTGAGAGCCTGATTTTTTTATTTTCTCGAGTGAACAAATTCCTCTACACAACGCCCATTTTGTATTTTTTCTTAATTAAAAATTGGACTAAAACTTGATGTTGACATTTCCAAGCGGGAACCCTATTCATCTAACTTCTTTTGCTTTTATATTAGAATAGATGTGATTGCAGGGCAACTAATAGTTCGGAACTCCGTATAAAGCTCTGCAATTATTTTACGAGTAATTTATAAAATAAATTATACACTTAATCAGATAATTTATTTTTAGTTTATGTATAAATTGATTGTTTCTCTAAATTTTGAAAAATCTATTTTTTCGTAAAATTTAAGCCTAAGAGCATCCCATTTTCTTTTCAATTTAAAATCAACGAACCTATTATGCTGAATTGATCACCATTCCTTTGTGGGGCTAAAAGAAGAGATTCCCCTGCTTGGAAGAAAACTAAGTCATCACAACAAAACTGCCTGGTCCATTGGTATTAGTAATATCCATTTCTGGTACTGGACACCTGAGATTAGTATATTAATGATAAAGTGGCTGACTTCATATCTAAAACCAAGTGGAATACTGATGGACATAAACTCTATCCTGATCACTTGATTGAGAAGATCCAAGATGTTCCTATTACTAAAAGCAATAATCTTCTTTTATGGTCTTGGACTCTAGGCATCCTGGTTGGCTTTTTTCGAAATCTTGGGCTTTAGGTTTTGGTTGTGTTTGGGTTTGTGCTACAATCCAATGGGTATGCTCTCGGAGAGTTGGGCTTAGAACAACTTTAATAAAAAAAAAGTAGATTTTAATAAAGAGCATTCTACTGACATACAAGAGATAGAGATATGATGATTATTTTAATTTAAGACTTCCTATAAAAACCTAATACCTAGAAAAAATAATAAATGAGAGATATATAAAAAAGTTGTAAGGGTGTATATGCCATGTGGATTGGACCACACGGTATTGGAGATGCTTTTAGGCCATGAATTTTGAAAAAATCTATATGTACATGTACGTTATTTATACATCCCTATTTTGTTTGTATGACAATTCATGTGAAAAGTGCAGAAGATGTCTTAGCTTGTATGTAGGCATGGACCTGGTCCCGGAATTGGGGTGGGAACCACACGGTTATGAATCGAGATTGAGAAAAATGTTGTAATCCAGTACTGGAACCAGACCGGTGGGAAAGAGGTCCCGGTCCTAGAACTGAAACCGCTCAGTTATAAACTGAAACCGGAAAATAAGGTTGTGGTCCGGGACCGAAACCAAACCGCTGAGAAAGGGACCGGACAGTTTCAACTTTTTTTTTAAATTCTTTTTGCTAGTAAATAATTGGAAAACATATCATAAGCGTTGATGGTTCATTAAGCTTAACAGAGGTGTACACAAGGTGAAGATGATTTAAAAGTGTATTTAAACAATAAAAAACTGGATCGGGACTAGATCCATGTCTATGTGACTGTGTTTGCACAAACAAGAGTACGAAACGGTACAAAAAAGCATAGACTCAATTCACGCACCTCGCTTGGCTTTTTTACAGAGCCAAAGATGCATTTAATTGTTCTTTTAATTAAAACAACCAAATAGGATGCTATATATCTAAAATAGGATTACTCTTCATTTATTCGAGTTTTTGGATCCTTATCCAATATGCAAAATTCAACAAGCTTTTGGATAAAAATTTCATCCCTAGTAATCTCGTGGTAGTCATAGTTAGTTAAGAAATTTTATCAATCATGATGTCAAAGATGTATTAATTTGAAAGATTAAATGTGTCGATATAGAGCCCAATGATAGAAAATCATCAATGTAAAATCTAAATTCTATGAATTTTTCTATTTTAAGAAACTTAAATAATGTTATATAATTATTCAAGTTTTATATTGACACACTTCATCGTTCGTTTAGATCCTTTATCGATAGTGAAGGGCTGAACGTTTGAGATAAAAA